GTTGCTTCGGCTGCACCCCACTGCCCCGTCCCTGGTTGGGGAGCAGGAGGGGAGGCGCCCGCCCCCCGCGGCGTCAGTGTCCCTCAAATCCCGAGGGCGCGCACTCACCCTCTTGACCAGGAAGCCCTCTTTGAGCACTCCGCCCTCCTCTTCTTCCATGCCGGTGCCCAGGTGCGCGTCCCAGGTGTCGTCCCCGCGGCGCCCGCCTCCGCCGCCCGTGCCCAGGAAGCGACTCCGACCCTGCTGGGGCGACGCCTCCCTGGCCCGGGGCCAGAGCCCGCGGCCGCAGGGCCTTCCTGGCAGGAAGCTGGAGACCTGGGCGGGATGGTGCGATTTGAGTCTCCCCCGAAGGTGTCCCGGGGTCCCTAGGGCGCCTTCCTGGTACAGAGTCCAGCCCTGGAGTCGTCTCCTGGGGAATCTCCCCTGCCCCAATCGCTTGGGCTAGGCAGGGCGCTCCATCCGGGTGCCTCCACTTATCCTGCGCCCCTTACCGCCCTCAGGGTCTCTCTGCCCACCTGCTCTCTGCTCGCACCCCTGCCTACAGGACCTGGAGTCAGCCCTGAGGTTTATGGGAATGGGGGTGGCTGTGTGGAGTGTGGAATCAGCTAGGAATGTATGCTGGGCTCTGGCGGCAGCGGAGAAAGGTTCCCGACCGCAGGAAGCTCACAGCTTTAAGGAGACAGCCACAGTCATCAGGGGCCCTGTGCACCCCAAACGCCACCCTCCCCCCAAGAAAAGCTAGATCTCATTATCCGGGCAGTATTTAAAGGTGTGCCACGAAATCCAGTCATTTAGATCCATCATATTTCTATGAAATAGTTTTGACAATACAAGTCAACGGAAACAAGCAAATCCAGGATGCATACAATACCCAATTCCCAACAGCAGCTGGACCAGCCTGAGACAGAGAAAACTCTGTGCGCCGCTGCAGGGCGCACTTACAAAGCACCTCCCTGCCATCGGGTCTTTCTGACTCATTGTGACCCTATAGGTCAAGGTAGAACTGCCCCTGTGGGTTGCCCAGAGTGTAGTTTTTTATGGGAGTACAAAGCCTCGTCTTTCTCCCCACAGAGCAACTGCGGGCTTCAAACTGCAGACGTTGCCACTACCACCGGGGGAGCACAGTCACTCTCGTGCATTGTACGCTGGGGGTGTGAAGGGACCCGTTGGGACTCCAGCAGGCAGGGGAGGTCTGCAGTGGACTGGAAGCCAAGAGAAGACCTAGCGTGAGAGAGGGCACCCCCACGCTAAGGAGGCCGCTGTGCCTCACAGAGCAGCCTGGAGATGACTCCTCCACGGAGCCAATGCCCCACCCAGGAAACCTCACCAGCCCTAGGGCATGGTGCTGCCCGGGTACTCCCCACCTCAGCTTCTGCACCCCCTGGCCTTCCACTCTGTTGGAACTCAACACCGCCTATAGTGGGCGCTGTTGTTGTTAGATGCCAACGAATAGGTGCTGACTCGTATGCTCAGTCCGATAGCAGGAAACACTGCCCTGTCCTGCACCAGCCTCACAGTTGCTGTCTGAGCCCCTGGTTGTAGCCACTGTGTCAAATCCATTGAGCTGAGGGGCTTCCTCTTTTGCGCTGCCTTTCTACTTGACCAAGCAGAACGCCCTTCTCCAAGGACGGGTCTCTCCTCATCACAAGTCCAAAGGGCGTGAGACAGTCTCGTCATCCTCACTTCTAGGATGGATCGCTCTGGCTGGACTTGGTCCGAGACAGATGGGTTTGTCCTTCTGGCAGTCCCTGATGCTTTCGATAGACTCCCCCAGCCCCGCGTCCATTCTTCAGTCTTTCTTATCCGACGTCCAGCTTTCAGGTGTGTTTGAGGCGATTGAAGAGACCCTGATTTGGGTAGGGCCACCTTAAGCCTCACTTTCAAAAGGTCTTGTACAGCAGGTTTGCTGCTTCTGTGGGCGTTGGGGTAGGTGCCAGCTTGTAGTTAATGCACAGGAAGCCCCTGAGATACACTGATGACCTGGCTTTTCTAACTGAGGAAACAGAAGCTCCCAGTGCCCAGCAGAGCAGGCACTTGCCCTTGAGGTTGGTTTGGCCCCACGAAGACACAACTTTCCCCGTCCTACAAGAGGTGACCTTTCTTTCTTTGGGGCCAGAGAGGTTCTTGAAGCTGTTCCTAAACAAGAGGCAGTGAGAAATACTGGCTCTCTCTCCAGGTTAGTGGCCCAACCAAGAGGGAGTTAAGGCCTATGCACGCTGAGCCCCAGCTTCCCCTCCATCCCAGGGAAGGGCCTGGTCCAGGCCACCCCCAGCCCCAATCTGACTCACTGGACCCACCACATGAGCCACACTTCCCTTTCCCCCAGGCTGTGGTGGCCAGGCCACCAGCCCAACCGGGAGCCACAATGACATAAGCCCAACTCAACTGCAGGGAAGAGGATGGAGACGAAGGGAAGTCGTCAGAAGTAGACTACTGCGGCAGACGGAAGGGAAGAGAGGCCTGGTCATGCTCTTCCATTCAGAGACGGATCCTCTCCCTTCCACCCGACTCCTTACTGTCGTGAAAGGCCAGGTGATACCTAATGGATACTATACAGTCAGTGTTTGGTTGACAGTGATTCATGGCTGCTGAGTTGAAATTCATGGAGTTGAAATTCCAACATTAGAGAGTCATTCCTTTAGTTTCTCATTAAGAATTCCTAGGTTAAGATACATCCACCATGCAGCCAATTCACCATGAATACCTTGACTCAAGAAGGTTATCCAGTCAGGCTTAACCCTTAAAGATGATTGGACCCAGGGACTTCCCTGTACAAATGAGAATCCCCAAGTCCCAGAGAAATAAAATGCCTGACTAAGGTTCCACCACAATGGGTGGCCAAGGCAGGACCAGAACACAGGTTCACAGAGCTGTGACTTTAAAGCTTGTGTCTGACCAATGCAGGGGTGCTTCCCTCGGCACCTCCTTTAATCAGAGCAGGACGGCAGTGAATGGATGAGCCAACTGCCCGCAGACTCCAGAGCCAACTTTTTTGTTTTGTTTTTATAAATCGTTTTATTAGGGGCTCTTACAGCTCTTATAATAATCCATATGTCCATTGTATCAATCACGCTTGTACATATGTTACCTCTATCATTTTCAAAACCTTGTCTTCTACTTGTGCCTTTGGTATCAGCTCCTTTTCCCCCCTCCCTTCCCCACCGCCCCCACCCTTTTGACCCCTTGATAAATTATTATTGTCTTCATATCTTACACCACCCGCTGTCTCCCTTCACCCATGTTTGTTTTTTGTGCCCCTCGGGTGGTGGTGGTGGTGGTTATACATCAATCCTAGAGATCAGTTCCCCCTTTTTCACACACACCCCCACCTTCCCCCTACCCTCATGGTATCGCTACTCCCATTACTGTTCCTGGGGCGCTTATCTGTCCTGGATTCCATGTGTCTGGAGCTCTTACGTGTAGCAGTGTGCATGCTCTGGTCTAGCCAGATTTGTAAGGTAGAACTGGGGTCATGATAGTGGGAGGGGAGCATTAAAGAACTAGAGGAATGTTGTGTGTTATGTCAGTGCTATACTGCATCCTAGCTGACTTGTCCTTTCCTTGTGATCCTTCTGTGAGGGTCCAATTGTCCAATGTCCAATTGTCTACAGATGGGCTTTGGATCTCCACTCCAACCCCACTTGTTTGCATCGGTATGATTGTTTTGGGTAGCTGACTTTATCAAGGATTTTGTATGTGTTTTTCTGACTATAGATCATTGGTGCTCCCAGAAATTTATGTCAACACCCATGCCCCCCCAAATGTCATCACCCAGACAGATAGCCAGGGTTTTTAGACACACTATATTTTCATGAGAATTTATTTAGAATTTTCCAAGCCTGCCATGTGTCACTTATAATAGCTAATAAGCATTTAGCAGCTCATTAAAAATTCTTCAGACATCATTTTAATATATGCACAATATTTCATCATGTCCACTATCATAATAGGTATGACCATTCCCATTTAGTTTTCATTTCCTTTTTCACCGTATCAATGACGTCATGCTAAATACCACTGTACGTGAATCTCTTTCCACAATTTTTGATTATCTCAAAAACAATGTACACAGACTGGTTTGATGTTAAAGGATATAACATTTTAAGATACTTTTAAAAACAGTTTTTTTGGCATATGATTCACAAACTACACAATTCAATAGTTCAGTCATATTCAGGAGAGTTGTGCAATCGTCCCCACATTCAGTTTCAGAACATTTAAAATTCTTGTGTGTTTGCTAAACGGTTCCACTCTTCCCACAGCAAGGCGCATAGCCATGCTTGAATCAGTGGAGGAGAGAAGAAGAACTCTATCACCAGGGTGTGTAATGATTGGACCTTGTGACCCATCGGGTTCTCATTAACTTCAATTGGCCGGGAATAGTGATGGCTTGGTGGTAGAACTTCTGTCTTCCATGAGGGAAAACTTCTGGGTGCCATTCCGGGCCAATCCATTTCGTGGGCAGCCATCGCCTGTCAATGGAGGTTTGCATGTTCCTCTGATGCTGAACATGGTCCAGTAGAGCTTTCAGACTAAGACTAAGAAGAAAGGCCCTGGCATTCACCAGGGTCCTGTAACAATACACCCTGGTGATAGGGTTCCGCTGCTCTGCTCCACTGATTGAAGCATGTGGACTTGCTTGGAACAATGGTATGTCAGTAGCATGTCCTAGCGGGAGCCCTCAGCACCATTGCTTGGTTCCACCATGGCTCTTTGTCCTGTGCCACCAGCCCACCGTGGCCAGGTCAGGGCTACAGTGCAGGTCCAGGAACAAAGAAGACTTGGCCAGAGAACCTCAACGAATGTGAGAAGTCAGCCTTTGTTGTTGCACACCACTGAGATGGTAAGCTGGGAGTTCTTGTTTTAAAAAACAAAACACAAAACCTCACTGCCATTGAGGTGATGCCGCCTCACTCTCAGAGGGGCTGCTGGTTTTGAACTCATAATCACTACACCACCAGGGCTCCCCTGTGCCATCCAATGTCAACCTGGAAAGCTAACTAATACTGCCATCTAACTGTCCCCTCATGCTGCGGTGTGCCAGGGAACTGCCAGAAGGATGGGGGCCGAGGTGGTGGTGGGTAGTGGTGAGGGCTGCCCATGATGACTAGCGCTGAAACCCACCTCTGCCCCCCTGAAGAATCTGGGAGGCTCGAGAGAGTGCTCACTTTCTC